TTTGCATTGTAAGACCCAAGTGCGAGCTCCTTTGCGAACTAAGACTGCTCTAGTCGATCAATTTAATCAGTTATGGGGGTTACTTAACTGTTGCTTAATGGGGAGTATATATAATCTAACTTTACTTCGATAGTCTTGAAGCTTGACCAAGCTAAAATATCGATTTTGATCGATGGTAAAATCTATTGAAATGACAGAGATGAATATATATATATATAAAGAGTTTTCCGTCATGAGATGTAGGGTATACGAATCAAACTGCATTCAAATGCCCGACTAACTTCCCTTGTCCACGCCACAAAATCGCAGCAGTCAAACGTCTAGCTATGAAATTAGTTGAAGAATAAATTTAACACTAGCATTTAACATGAACATTAACATTTAACGCTTGAATGCATTTGAAAATAAAGTTCGCTGCGGCGCATGCATAACTGCACACGCAACAAGCAGCTGCGCTTGGCCTTGGCAAAGAAAGCCAAACGCGGCGAATTGGCAAATGCGGCGAGTCACGCATTCGCCTGCGCGCCACACACTGATTCGCGGGCTGATCTGGAGTTGGCTGCAGTCTTGACATTGAAACTTGACAGCTTGTAATGCCACACGCCATGTCATATCTCTCATAGCCATGGGGTAGCTTGACTTTGTCAAGACTTTTGTCAGATAACCTTATAGATATTTGAAGAGTCAAAAACCGTTAAATTTACAATGAACCAGTTTAAACTGCAAGTTAAAGTTACAGTTTCTCTAAAAGAAACATCAGAGACTTCAAATGCGCATCAAGAAACGGCTGCGAAACCTGTTTAGATACGTTTCGATATTACCCCTCAGTAATGCCCACATGGCATTAGTTGAGGAGGGTACACGAACCGTGTTAGAGCGTCCACTCTTCAGACGTTTATCATGTGACTAGGTGAGCGCGCGCGCGTGGACGAACTTAAAAAGAGCTTAGCGTATTTATGAGCTAATCGAAACGGGTATTTCGCTAAAGATTGTTAAACACTTTGTTTTTGGGTAAGACCCATTAAAGAGACAAAATTTCAATGACAATTGCGTTACAGCTGACTTTGTTTCAGATGCTCGTTGCGCGGCGAAGCTAATCAAAAACTATGCTCAAAATCTTGGCCAATGGACTTGGTTGTCGCTCCGCTCAGCATCCGCATTCTTAACGTCTCTGTATCTAGGTATCTTTGTCTGTGTATCTGATAGATACACTTAGCATAGCTGAGCTACACAGCAACAATGGCCGTGTCGCTGCCCAGATACACTTTGCGATTAGCCGCTCATTTCGTTCCTTCGTCTTTGCCCTTTGTCGACCTTGGCAGCAGTCAATCAGCAGCGGCTAAATGTAAAAGATACTTTTTTCTCGCCTTCCACTACTTCGTCTACAGATACATTTTGTTGCTTGCATCCGAGAGATACCGACAACATGGCAGGCAAATTAGCCAAACAACTTGATTGATTAAAGTCCACCGCAAAAAAAAGAGCCAAAAAAGGCGAGCAAGTATAAAAAGTAAATTCTTTAGACATAAATTTGACTGTCGTCTGTGTGAGTGTGTGTGTTTGTGTAAATCTGTTTGCAGTTGTCTTAATGGCATAAATGAGAATTGATTTGGACAGCATTTGGCAGAAAGCGAAATACTTTGAAGGGGCGTTTTGTTTTATTGACGGACTTAGCCTTGACATTGAACTATGCAGAGTTTACAAACGATACCCTGTACAGAAACTGACCAGTATGGGGTATGACCAAGCAATAGCAATGCGCATATATACAAAATTCGATAGGGGATATAAGAAAATAAACAAACAACCAAACAACATCCTAGACTCTAGCCTAGAAAGCACTTGGAGCTATTTACAGGGTATTTCAAGGTATACAAGAGTAATATATGCATTCCACCTGAAATCAAATTCAGTATACAATTGTTTTTGTTTTTTTTTTTTTTATTGGCTACAGGGTATTTCCTATTTGGTGTTTTCCCTATTTGGTCTTTGTGTGGAGATTAACAAACTTCCGACTCATAAATCATAAACGTTGCTTTGTTTAATGCCTTCAAGTAGAGCCCCATACGAATGCCTCACACACCTTTCACAATTCTGATCAAACAAATGACTAAATATATAGTATATCATAGAAATATGTATATAAATATGTTGTCGATGTATGTATGTATGAAGTACAGTCAAAAATATTTGAAACAGGAAACTATTTGGCTATTAATAGGAATATGTATCTCTCTGTTTAAGTCAGGTTTTGTTTTCTGTTCCGAGTTCAAATTGAGTTTAGCCTATGTGGGGGCCAACTAACTTTTAAAGGACCAATAGGAACTTCGCTGGACACGCCCAGCTAGCAATATCTGCATATACGTATTTGGCTGTTCGTTAGTTTGTCTGCTCATGCTTCTATTTATTCCTCTGCCTCTTTTCCCTGTTCGTCCATCTGCTTCATCGTACGTCCATCCATCATCGGATCGTATGCCTGTCCATCTGTCTGTTCCATTGTCTCTTCAGTCTGACAAAGCGTAGACTTAATGTCTGAAATATTCACACGTCTGCTCGAGTCGTCTTCGGTATATACGAAGCACGTGGTAAATCCGTAATTTCTATATCTTTACCAATAGAAACTAGACACTCAAGAGCGTAAATATACATATACGAGTATACTACTACTACTACTACTACTACTACTCTCGGATATAATGTCAAGGCTATAGAGCGACTCTTATTTGGGGAGCGTGATAGTTTTATAGCTATTACCCGATCAAAATGGACAAGTGCCTTACCGCTGATGGCCTTCTTGAGAGATTAGCTTAAAATGTAATGCTCACGTCCAGTACGCCCAGTGGGCGGGGCAAACGTCAATAAGCTGTGACCTTCATTAGAGATATACTTGAACTATGCTTATATATACTAAGACCTATAAATGCATATATGTAAACAATATATTTTTATACACTTTGAACCTATACCCATACCTATTCAACCATATCCATTGAAAATGGGAAATCAGGGAATTTTATTTTTCAAATGTTTGTATATATAGCGTGGATATCAAGTTTATCTCCAAAAATCGATAACTCACTCTTCCCGTTATTTTTTATCGAATAAAAACATTATTGAAAATAAGCTATTTAATTATATCTCCAATATCTTTAGAGCTAGAGTCGCCAAATTTTATATGTAAATTCATGTGTACTTTATAGAATTTCGATTTTTGTTATAATTCCCCCCCACCCCAATATCCACACCCTCATCACTAAATTTGTAGAGAGTTGTGCCCTGACAAATACACGAATTTTAATGATACAAAAACAATCTATCTAATTTCATGAAGAAAGTACATCCACAAGAAAAGTTATCGAGCAATTAAGTTCCTATAGTAAGCGTGTGTGCCTATATGTGTCTGTGAGTGTGTGTGTGTGTGTGTTTCTTGTGTAAGCAGAAAGACGCAAAAAATTATTGAAATATCAGTTGCTCGAAGTTCGGGGGATCTCGTAGTCGAACAGTCTCGACTACAGCTTTCTTATTTGTTATCTATAGATTGAATGGATATATGTACATATATACAAGCTTATAAACGATATTCTGTTAATGGAGGTTTTGTATAAGGAGCTCTATTAACATATTTCACAGCTGAGCTTGATATTCATAAGCCTATTTATCATCGTTATCTCCGTGTGCTCGGTAATCGCCTTTAGCTAGTTTTATTTAAACTACTCCAACTTTCAAAGCTCACTATAAAAGCTTGGCCCACAAGCTTAAATTTGCAAGCTTTGTGCTTTATGCATATCTTCGAAAGTTTCACAAGCTAAGCTTAAAAGCTTGCACAAAAGCCTTTGGGTTAGTTAATATACCCTAAATTGGTTTAGTTTACGTGATATATATATATATGTATATATACATATATATATATATATATGTATATTTATTTATATATAGGTCACACACAGCTTACGTTCCCAGGCCGTTGCTCGTAAACGACTTCACTTTCACTTCCATTCGGGCATTATTCAAGTCACGTTCTTTTCAGCAGCCTTTCGAGATCAATAAATATATGAACAACCGAACGGATCGTTTATCACGTCGAATATCGAGTCGCAAGGCTTTAATTATAATTTGTTCTGCACACTTGTCGCCGAGACAGCTCGACAGATTGTAATTAATTCCCGCTTGCTTATCATTCTATTGAAATAATGTTTCGCACAGCTAGCGCAGCCTCAAGAACTGAATAGGTTGGTCTGACAGGGGTACCGGGTATTCAAATTCAATTCAAATTCTTATCAAGTGTTTGATTTGTCGCGCGGGACTAATGGGAAAACTGTGGAAAAACAGAAACATAACCTAGGCCAAGCTTAGAGATAATAGAGAGAGGGCAAAGGGTAGTTCGCAACCAGAAAAGAGTGGACCTATAGAACTGTTCTATCTACGTATGTGATACAAGAGCAAGCGGGAGTAGAATATGCAAAGTTATACAGGACCTCGGTTCCTTAAATTCCTTGGACTTATGATGCTTGAGAACTTGTGTTCAAAAGTCCTTGATTCCCTAGGTCATAAGGTGATTGTAGCCCATAGTTCTAAAAGGTTGCTCTTAAGTCATTTAGTCTCCATTGACTAAGCTTATAAAGTTATGAGAATAAAAAAAATTGCTTAATTCTTATGGTCTTATGGTTCCTAAGCTATTAGGTCTTTAAATCTTCATATGTTGAAGTCCTCAACTCCTTATATCAAATGATACTTCGACTCCAAACACTCCAAAGTCTTTATGTCCTTGAATACCTACCCCAGGGTTCACAGCTGCTAGCTTTACCTTTACATTGGATCTTAGCTCAAATATGTATGCTCTGATTTTTAGAGCATGTGTTTGTATATCTTATGATCCTTGGGTTTCCATGTCCCCAAGTTGCTTGGATGCTTCAGATCTTAAGACTCACATATGGATTCTATATTCGATCTATCAAATCACCAACTTAATGAAAATGTTGTCTACTCTGCTCCATCCACAGATAAAACAGCCACAGGATGATACCAATTTTGAATAAACTGAGCGGCTTCTACAGCACCTATGTCCTAGGCATACTCACTATCGGCTACATCCTAGGCGAGCTGGGTCACTATCTGATCGGCGTCACGTCCAAGCAGACGGCCATTGAGCTGGACTATGGAGATCATGCCTGCCAGCAGAATAACAGTATGTTCACCAGGCACGAACTGATGACCCAGTGCTCGGACGTTAAGAACGAGAGCAGTTGCTATTCGCTGGATATGAACGGAACGGGCTATTGCGAGTGGAACTACAATGGACTGGGCATCGATTATCAGATACTGGCCGGGCCCACCTTCATATTGGTGTTCACCATTGCTGGCGTGTTCATGGGCTTTGCGGCTGATAAATACAATCGAGTGAAAATGCTGACAGTTTGCACTGTGATCTTTGGCGTTGCGATTCTGCTGCAGGGCACCGTCAAGGAGTATTGGCACTTGGTGCTGCTTCGCATGGTAATGGCGGCGGGTGAGTCTGGGTGTAATCCTCTGGCCACGGGCATTATGTCCGACATCTTTCCGGAGAACAAACGTGCCTTGGTCATGGCCATCTTCAATTGGGGCATCTATGGCGGCTACGGCATTGCCTTCCCCGTCGGTCGCTACATCACCAAGCTGAACTTCTTCGATATGGGCTGGCGTATGTGCTACTTAGGTGCCGGAGTGCTAACGATTATTGTCGCCGGACTCACGGGCACTACCCTACGGGAACCGGAACGCAAATCAATTGGCGAGGGCGATCGCACCACAGCGAGCGGCAAACCCATTTCCCTCTGGCAGGTTATCAAAAGTCCCGCCATGATTATGCTGATGATAGCCGCCTCCATACGTCACAGTGGTGGCATGACCTTTGCCTACAATGCCGATCTGTACTACAACACCTACTTCCCCGACGTGGATCTCGGCTGGTGGCTCTTCGCTGTCACCATTGGCATTGGCAGCGTGGGCGTTGTCGTCGGTGGCGTCGTCTCCGATAAGATAGTCGCCAAAATGGGCATACGTTCGCGAGCCTTTGTCCTGGCCATCAGCCAGTTGATAGCCACGCTGCCCGCCTTCGGCTCGGTCTACTTCGAACCTCTGTGGGCGATGATTACACTCGGTCTGAGCTACTTCTTTGCCGAAATGTGGTTCGGCATCGTGTTCGCAATTGTCGTTGAGATTGTCCCGTTGCGTGTGCGCTCCTCAACCATCGGCGTCTTCCTCTTCGTCATGAACAACATTGGCGGCAATTTGCCCATTCTGGTGGATCCAGTGGCCAAGGTCATCGGGTACCGCGGCTCCATCATGATCTTCTATGCGGGCTTCTATGGCATCAGTAAGTATTTGTTCATTGTTCGACTTAATTTCCTAAGCTAAATATATTTGTTCTCAAATTAGTAGGAAATTTTATACAATAAAGTAAACAAGAAAATAGTTAGATAAGAACTGACATCATCATGTAACGCAAGTGCTACGTCAGCTGTTAGGCATGTTGGCCCGACACACTTGATATAAATACTGCACAGTCTATTAATGCCCAACTGATTTATATGGTGTTACTTATTCCAATCCCATTAGGCTCTATACTTTTCCTGATCACCTGTTTCCTGCTGGATGGCAAAGCGAAGCCCAGTTCCAACGAGCAGGAATCACAGAAGACGCACCCGGATACCATCCTGAACGCACGTAATATGCACGGCCATGATAACTCCGTGTTCAGCGTGGATGAGACCCTGCCCTCGAATGGCCGCCCTGCCCAGCTGCCGCAGCATCTGCAATTGTCCAATGGCAATGGCTACGAGAAGTCACAATCGATTCATCCAAGTCACAATGGCGCCGAGAGCAGCAGACTGTAGTATTATGGAGATCTTACCTCCGTCTCCGCCTCCGACATAACATCAGATCGCGAAAAAGAGATAAATCTATTTGTGAAAGTGCTTCTAATATTTTTTTATTATTATTATGATTACTTTAATTATAAAAAAAAAAAACAATTTTTTTTTTATGTGTGTAATACTATTGATTTTATAATTTTTGTAAAAAATTAACATAGTCTTAAGTGAGAGATACAAGGTAGTGCCTTTCTATATACATATATATATAAATAAATTATAAATAAACCTGTTTTGTTAGCTCTAAAAAGAACCCTAACTCAAAATGTATTTATGGGAGGCTCACATCTTACTGAATTATGTTGGATAGAAACTTTGTTTACCCAAATGGACGGAAGTTATATTTAAATTGAAAGAACGTCCCAATTGGTTCTATGGGTTAATGATATCAAATATTACATACAAAGTTTCAGCTTTTCCCTCCCAATGCATTCCATAGTATTTCTTCAAACATTATAAAGTTGTCGCCGATCAAATTCATTTGCTTTAATCCAATTCGCCCATTCCAGACAGAAAGGGCAGCCCGCAAAGAAAACGCCAAATCAGCTTTTTTTACTGACCACGAATATGTATGTGTATACATATTAACGAACTATATGGCTTTTCGATGTACAGTGAGCCCTCGGTTAACGAACACAATTTGTTCCAGAATCTTCTTTTTTTTTATTGGTCGCTATGCAACATATTGTTCGTTAAGCGAAACGTATTTTCCCAAAAGAAAAATGTGTTCGTTATGCGAAATGTTCGTTAGCCAAGGCACCACTGGCACCCACCAAGGGTCCACTGTACTATACTTGCCACAAACGTCACATTTTATGATGACGACAGCCCGCTGAGCTTACAGTGAAACAAAAATGTTTTCGTACAGCAGCAACATTTTTCTTTGGGAGCGAATAAGACATATATATATTAAGAAAGGTACCAATGTTTATTTTATTATTATTTTATATATTAATCTTAATTTACAAAAAGAATTAGAATTAGAATTAGTGCTTAGTCTAGTAGTTGTAACTTAAAGTTTATAAAAAGACACGTTTTTGGCTCCAATAAAGTCTTTGTACAGTAAAACTAAATACTTTAAATTAATAAGACTAATTTCTCTGTGTAATCCTTATCTATTTTTGCCCATTCCTCTTTTAAAACTTCTATTAGCTTGGGTTTTGACGAATTTTTTTTTTTTTTTTTTTTTTTTTTCATTGCTTTATTTCCATAATATTATATTAGCTTAGAGCTAGCTTATTGTTTTATTTACAGAGTTTAGACTAAATTTATGTCTGATCAGCTGAGATATTTTATTTACATGTTTAGAAATAAGTTGTTAATAAATTTAGAATATAAAGGAAAATGGAGGAAAACAAAAAAAACCTTTAAATGCAACTTAGGTACTATCTTAAAACTACAAAAGAAGGCACTTAAGGCATTAACTATATATACTTTGACGAATTTTGATGCTTCCTGATATGGAGAAAACGTGTCTTTTTATTAAGTTTTAGCTATAACTACTAGACTAAGCAAGCTATAGACATAATTCTTTTTGTAAATTAAGATTAATATAAAAAATACTAAAACTGTATCAAAACATTGTTGCCTTTCTTATTACATATACATATGCCTAATTCGCTGTACGAAATCATTATTGGTACACTGTAGCTGCTCGCCTTAGATCCTCACACTACCATCTATTCCACACATATTGTATATGTGTGGAGCTACAGAATGCGAAAAGCCACACAAACATTTTGCGTTGCTCCACCACTGCAAATGAATCGCTTCGTTTCAAACACCGACAACGACTGACGGCGTCGGCGATGGCGAACAGCGACAACGTTCGTTCGTGAGTTGTCTCGCGTCATTTCGCCGTGGGTATAGCAAAGGAAGTAAAAAGAGAAGGAACGATGATAAGAAGATGCGGCGAATTCACAGATTTGTGTGTGTGTGTGTGAAAATCTATGATTTCAATATGTGAAGCTTAAGAAGGTAACCCCACAAGGCAAAGTTGCCACATAGGCATACATTTTCATACAAAATTGTTATACGTTGTTATATACATACAACATTGTTATATTCTGTTATATACATTTATATTTACTGCTATTATTGCTTAAATAATTATAATTTATGAGAATGCGAGCAAATAACCAAAACAATAATAATGTTACTAGTCCATAAGTATAGAGCTGCAACAGACAGTTGTGACGTCATACGATTTTGACATTTCATCGAACATTTGCTGAGCAACCTTTTGGTTGCCTGCTGCCTGCTGTCTGCGTATTGCCTTTTGCTAGTTGATTTTTTTGCCAGTCGAGCTCCAACACTCGAAGTGTGTGCACCAATGTGAAGTATTGAATGCGGCAAAAAGAGGAAAATCTATAATAACTAAATCTAATTGACAATTGAATGTCGACACAACGACGGTGAGTAGTTAAATAGATTTAAAAACAATAAGTTTCAAGCATATTTGACGTACATTTTGTGAATGATATAATTAAGATCCATATTTGCGTTCGGTAATGCTTTTTTCGTTGCTTGATTTGCTCCACCGTTTTATATGTGTGCGCGATTGCCTACGGAAATGTGCTCGTGTATTCGCGTCAGTGCGTACGTGTGGCTGTGTGTCTCTGTTTGTGTGCGGGTTTGTGATTATTCTTTGAATCTGATTCTTGCTTGCGTTATTTTAGTTCTAAGTGCTGATCAGTTCATAAATTGTTGAAAATGTTGATGAAAAGGGAGACTCCGCAAATTGTAGTGAAATATAATTATGAAATAATTCTTAACAATGAATTACGATATATGTTTAACATTCTCATGAAACGACTTTTTGCAATGTCAAAATACAGTCATACTTTTTTCTTCTCTTCCCACTTATTCGGCATCTGACACTAGCCAGACGCTCTCTTTGCTATTCTGTAAGTCTGTCAAAAAAAAAAAAAAAAACTAAACAAATATACCAAAGTTTGGTATTTTATTTTTATTTTTTGCCAGCAGAAATACCAAATACTTACATTTTGGTTGGTAGAAGAAAGTCACATCTCTTATTCTCAACGAATACAAAAAAAAAAGTAACAGTCACATAACGATTTTTATACCCTGACGCCGTTGAAAATGGGAAATCAATGTATAATGGTTTTGTGAAAATGTATGTAACAGACAGAAGGGAGCATCGCAGACCCCATAAAGTATATATATTCTTGATCAGAGCGACGGGTTAAGTTGATCTAGCCTTTTCTCTGTCTCAGAAGAGCTAGAGGCTTGAAATTTTGCATAAATACTCATGTACGTAGTATGAGTTTATCATATTACTTCGATAACTCCTCCTATTTATTTTTTATCGAAAACAATCGATAAATTAATTTCGTTTTTCAGAGTAACTTGAATACTATTAAACCTGGAGATTTCAGATTTACTGTGTATATCCATCTGATGAATACACAGATTTTGTAATTTACAGATTAAGGATACCACGCCCCCAATTCGTTTAAAAAAAAAAACGGGGTTTGTGCTTTGGAATATACACACTTTTGACCATTATTATCACGTTCTGAAGATCCCTTACAAGAGAAATTATTCAATAAATAAATTCTGATACACCGCAGCCCAATCAAATTTGCAGTTGATAGCTCCTTTACAAAGATCAACAAGGAAGATTGGTATTGGAGTACCAACACGGATTTACGACGCTTAAGGATTTACGACAAGGAGAAAATTTTAATAAGATTTCCATCTTGATTGGCTCGCACTGCCAGGAAACTGGATTCGCACTGACTTCAAAGAAGGATTACGCATTCTCGCAAGGGACAAAATATCGCTCAAAGAGAAGGAGGAAAAATTATGAATGCCTAGAAACGGATTCCTAAAAAAAATCAATTTAATGGAGAATGTACAATTACATGGAAATTCATTACGAATCCCAACGTTAAAAAGTCTATATTAAAACCGATTTCAACCAGAACGAATGCCAAATAGCTCGTTCGAAATTTGCAGAACCAGACGGAAGCTGAATTTGGTTAAGAATATACATCTTCGCGTTTTGCTCTTGCTTTTGCCCTAATCTTATCTTCTTATAAGAATGGGACGACGTGTACATATATACGTAAATAAATGAGCTTTGAATGCAATGTCTACTTTGAGTATAGCATAAAACGATTTTTGTGTTTCTTTGCAAGCTTATTGCTCATCTCGAAGAACATATCGAATAAGACTGACCCAAGGCTCTGTACTCAAATGGATACAAACAATTGAGGAGAACGTTGCGTTCGGGCGTTACCAACTGCAGAAACCGGGAAAATTTTAACACTTTATATGTCGGAGATATACATGAGTATGTGTTCCAAGTTTCCAGTCTAGCTTTCATAGTGCCGAAATAAGCTGCGTCCATACGGGCAGATAGCAAGACGGACATTGCACAAAACCAATATACTCATTTAACTTTCGTGAATGAGAGAATATAGAAAGCAAACCTGCTTCTATATCTCTAGACCATGCAATAAGTTAAATCGCGTTTGGCTTAATTTGTGTGTACATTTTTCTTTACGAAGAAATTCACTAAAATGTGACTTGAGTTGGACTTTCATTTGCAAGAAGTCTTACACAGTACGCAGGTAACATCACTAATCAATTTATCGATTTTTCTCTGTAAAAAGAAATCGCATGGGTTATCAAAAAAAAAAAAATGATAATGTAGCATGTCCAATATGTTGAATAAATACTGTAACAATTCATTGCAAGTATTAGCAATAATTATCAACAGCATTCGTCTAGTGCATGTGTAATCTGAGTGTCCACCTGAATGGGGGCACTAACAGTCTATGCGCAATGTCAGCATGTTTGACCCAACAGCGCACATGCAACACTTTCTCTCTTCTTATATGTTCTTCTTATACGGTGGCGTCACCGTCAGCGCAAGAGCGTGGCTTAAGCTTAAAAAAATATTGTTAAAGCTTAAGCCATTTTTATACCCTGAACCCATTGAAAATGGGAAATCAGGTTTCATGAAGATCGTACGTCCACAAAAAAAGTTATTAAGCAATTAAGTTCTCATAGTAAGCGCTCACTCCCGCCCATGCGTGTTTATGCTTGTGTTTGTATATGTATGTAATTGTTTGTGTATGTGTGTGTCTGTGCGTGCGTGCGTGCGTGTGTGTTTGTGTGTGTGTGTGTGTGCGTGTTTCTTGTGTAAGCTGAAAGACGCGAAAAATTATTGAAATAGCTATTACTCCAAGGGTTCAGGGGATCTCGTAGTCGAGTAGTCTCGACTAGAGCTTTCTTACTTGTTTCTGAATAAATCATTCAAAACTTACTCTTCAACGGAGGTGACGCTCCACCGGGTTTTCATTCATCGGACGGACAGACGGACAGGCCTAAGTCGACTCAGCTTATCGTCCTGACCAAGAATATACATACTTTATGGGGGCTGCCACGCCTTCTTCTGCCTGTTGCATACATTTTCAGTGTGTTCAGGGTATAATAAGTAAGAAAGCTCTAGTCGAGACTACGAAATCCCCTGAACGCTTCGAAGAATTGATATTTCACAATAATTGTACACTCACACACAGAAAAACATAGGGATGCAAGCATAAGCACGCATTGGCAGCAGTGTGAGCTTACTATGGAAATTTAATTGTTTAATAACTTTTCTTGTTGATGAACTATGCTCATGAAACGTTCAGGTTGTTAATATAGCATTAAAGTGCGTGTATATGCCAAAGCAGTCTCTAGTATTTGAGATACGTTTTTTACAAAGGTGAGGGTGAGGTGGTGGATATAGGGGTGAAGGATAAATTACAATAAAAATCTAAAATATATAAAATACATATAAGTCTGCATTTAAAATTTCGAAGCTCTAGCTCCAAAGGTGTAGGAGATATAATTAAATAACTAGTTTTCGATAAGGTTTCGATAATAAAATATCGTGAGTAGTTATCGATATTTAGAGAGAAACTCGATATTCGCGTGATATACACGGACCTAGGAAAATCTTATATCTTCTGAGATCAACGCGTTCATACATACGGACGGACAGACGGACAGAGCTAAATCGACTTAGCTCGTCGCCCTGATCAAGAATATATATACTTTATGGGGTCTGCCACGCCTTCTTCTGTCTGTTACATACTTTTAACAAAACCATTATACCCTGATTTCCCATTTTCAATTACGATTAGTTAATATCAGGAAAAGTGCTCCGCTCTGCTGTACGTTCCTGTTTTGTCCTCTAACAACCGCACCTACGATTGTACTTAGCCTCTATGGATAGCTTTCGTTCTGACTGTACTATCATAATGCAAATAGAAGACCATGCGTATGAATTTCAATTATTTGTGGGAGCTAAAACCCAAGACGCTAGTATGTCAAAGGAGTTCTTGTCTAATATATTGATTTCTCTGTGTGTCCGTCCAAGGCCAACATGCATTTCGCATTTTGAAACTGTTTGAAATATACCCTTTCCTTTTCCGATATGCGTATTGTATCTATATTTGGTATGACAGTGCTATTAAAACTCAGCACCCGTCGGTGAATTTACTCTCCCGACATTCGGAAAGAGGTTAGCTGGTGACCTCTTTAGATTAACCATTATTTATTCACGCTGACTAGAGGACGTGCCAAAACCATACGTTTCCGAGTGTTAGAAGGCAAGCTCAATTGTGCAATTCAAAACTGTTGAGCCCTTAAACCATTGAATTATAGGGTCCGGTCATTTTGGGCGCGAAAATTGTGAAAATATTGATTTTTGAAAACAGTTAGGAGAAGTATTATATATACAAGCTAGCCATGCCTGGGTCATTCTGCTAAGTGGAGGATTCCTATTAAAAATTTATGTGAGAGCAATGATATATTGTGCTACAATTATTGTCTCTCCAAGAGCGACGTCTTTTATTAAAAATTCTTTCGTAGTTTCTTAATCTAATCCATGGTGGCTCACATCGAGTAATCCAGAGAACATGGGACACAATTGTTTTACTTAGATCCATATACTCGATGGGCGTCGGGAATGATCCCTCCAGGGTCTACGTCAACAGGAGGCCGTCAATGACATGTTCATGCTGAAACAACTAGTTAAACTCACTTTAATGGTACTTTAAATAATCCTTAAATACCATATCCGACTATCGGATAATATAGATTATTATCGATAATAGGATATTCACTATCGGAAGACGCGAATGTCATTAAGGGGATCGTAATATAACAGAGAGAATGAGCCAAGATAGAGCACTGAAAGTATATGTATGTGTATGAGGATTATGAGCCGAGTCGATTGATCTGCCCGTGCGCATTCCTACAAAAGCAAGAAACTTTGTAATATTTATAATATATTTCTATATACCATACACAGCACGAATTTACCATTTTGTATATCGATAATAATCGATCGATTAATTGTTCTTACACGCCTCCCTTGAATGCCGGAAATGCTGGAGACTTCAAATTCACTGTATACATGGCTGTTATGTATACATAAATTTGATTCATTTTGGAGGTCACTCTTACTCTCTGAAATTTAATTAAGTCCAACTAGAACAAAAGTTCTTCAGCCCTTTAGTATTCTGTAAAAGAGCCGTAGAGTTATTGAAATAACAGCTCAGAATCTCTTCTAGTCTAGTCTGTTTTAGCTGTGATTAGTTCGTGTTTAAAGCAATTTATTATAATATATGTATATAATAAATTGCTTTATATTAAGTACGTTAAATATTCTCAAGTATTTTGTACGTATTTTATACGGACAAACCCTCCTTATTTCATCACAGACCTCCAGCTAAGCAACTAAAATCACGACATACATACATACATACATACATACATATGTATGTAAATTCGAATTCTCTACTACCTACATGCACGCACACAGATACACATGCATAGATGTTTCTGGCTGCGTCGTAATTCTAGAGACACAATGTGTTTCAGTAAACTCCGCTCTGCACAGCTTTAAGGCGCGACAACGAGAAAAGAAACGCAAAAGAAACGAATTCAGGGGAAAAAATTGTATTGCGCATCGAAAATTGAAAACGATCTCTGCGAAGCGAACTAAAGGTTTTCTACCCTGAGAAAGCCATACACACATACACGCAAGCGCACGTAGATACAGTTATGCAAACGATCACAGATTGCGACAGAGCCAAACTAGCTTAGCGTAGGCAGCGACAGATGAGAAAAACAAAAAGTGAGACATAATATAAAATCGAAACAAAAACTGCGGCGAATTCAGCTGTCAGCTGTTGTCAAGAGGAACAGCGTTGCCAGACGAACATTGGCCATGGAAAGCAATTGACATTTTTATAAAAGAAAAAAAGTGGCAAAAAGTACATCATTCGTATTAGAGCAAGGTTTAAACAATATTGAACGTATTAAAAATGTTGTAATTAACTTCACTTGAAATTGTGTCGTAAATAGTTCCGTTCAACTAGGTGGCAGCACTGTGGTTTACGCCGGCTTTGCTTCATTTGTCAATCGCATTTACTTAATGAAGGAACAACGCAAGAAAAACTTTTGTCGTGTCGATTGCGTTTTTTTTTTTTTAATTTTATTTATTTAATTATTGTGTATTTATTTAGTTTTTTTTTTTTGTTGTTGTTATTGTTACCATAAATAGTAAACTTCTGTTCTGCTGTGGATTTGTTGTGCTATCTTATATTGTTGCTTAGTTTATATGTGGAGCTTAAGAGCCTAGTTTACGGTGTATCAAATTCCTATCTCAAGAAGTGTGTGCATTGTCGCAGTGATGCAAGTGCAGCTTTAAATTTGATTGTTTTTGTTGTTGTTGTGCTGACGACGCTAACGACGCTGACGACACCGTCGACGTTAGCGACAGGATTCTGCAGCTGTATACCGAGGTGTGTATTAAAAATAGATTTAACGTTTGTTGTCTATCCCTATAAATGCGCGGCAAATTTGCCGGCTCAGTTTACGCTTGGGTCTGTTGTGAGTGCGCATTTGTAAGTGTGCACTTACATACATATGTCGCACATATGTGTGTGTGTGTCTTGAATATTTGCTCAAGTCGTATGCCTGGATGTATGGATGTATGTCTGTGTATGTATATGTGTGTATGCACATAAATCTGTATTTTACAGCGATCCCCGTTGCAGTTGTAATCTGGACGTCCTATTGACGAAAGCTTTTTGGTTTTCGAAAGCTTAAAATGCAGCTTCTCAATTGCTCTAATTAAGCTCCAGACCACAGGCAACAGGCAGCTGGGTGCAGGGAGCTTTATCACTCCGCCATCCAGACTTATGTATGTACAAAAACTCAAAAACAGACAACTCGTCATAGTTCAGGTGCCGCGTCTAGTACTACAAGAGGGAGCATAATTAATTTAATTGAGCATAATTAATTTCTTTGAGGTGAACGATTAATTATAATTTGTAGTAAATTGTTATAAATTTTACAATACATAATTGTGGTAAAGCTCTCCAGACAAGACATTTGCCCAGTGACATATACTCGCTCAGTTACAGCGAAGCGAGTATATTAGTTTGGTCAAATATATTATTATTATGAATAAACAAAATTTAAAATTTTATTTATATAATATTTGTAATATTTTTTATCTTGTAGATAAATGGCAGAAACAGATGATGTTGAGGAGGTGGGAAGGACAAATGGGGACCCAAGCCTACCGGCTAACATACAAAAGGTCGAGCAGCTGCGCGGCTCTGCGAGCTTCATTAGGAATGTGGTCAAGACCTATGGACGACAACTGGCCCCGGAGAAGTACCACAAGCTCAACAAGCTCATAGAGCTGCTGGAGAGCAAGTAAGCCTAGACCACATAGCTTAAAAACTTGTTGAGAATTTTAATATACTTTACACTATTATATCTTAATGTAAATATTTATGGGCTAAATGGGATAAATTATAATCTTCACATATTAGAAATTAGAAACTGATTCGCATAAATTGTATAATTGGCTAATGAAAACGCTTTGTGCTTTTAGTATACCACCTGAGGACTTCTATCGGCGTTATCCGCTGGCCAAAATTGAGGGTGTTATTGATAAGCTAAAGGCCAACTTTAAAGCGGTATGTAAACATAATCGAGAAATTTATAAATAGGTCAGATTTTTAAATGAAACATTTCAATTTACAGCTGCTCAATGAAGAGGTAATTGTCATCGTTGATCATTCCGATGCTCCGGGTGACCAGCAACCGAGAACATCCAAATTAGCGGGAGAAACTGAAGCCAAGTCTAAAACAGCAAAGCCTGCAGCCAAGTCGAATAGTCGCCCAACGCCCAAGCTCAAGACTATGCCCGAACCAAGTCCAGTTGTGGCAGCCAAGAGCTCAATAGATTTAGAGCGTCGCTTTAATCCATCCCGACCAAGTACGCCGGAGCAAAGGAGCCCACCGCCGCCACCTGTAGTCGTGCCCGCGCCAGTGCCTCCGCCAACGCTGGCTGCATCCACATTGACGAACTCGCCCAAGGCGGATTTCGAACGCCGCCCACAGCCAGCAAGAGCAACGGTAGATCTAACCTCACCTATTGGCAGCAGGCGGCCGGATTTTGTGCGTCGGAGTAATCCGCCAGCGCCAGCGCCAGCGCCAACTTCAGCAACATCTCCCATTTCACACATTAGTCCACAGTTGCTAAGCCCGCCTAGGGCGGTATTTGAGCGACGCTACAATCCGTCGCCGCCAACTATCCTGGAACCGAGCCATGAGGATAAGTCCCTGGAAGAGGCACGCAAAAAGCTGGCTGCCCTACGGGGTGAGCGTGACATCAATGTCAATCTGATGGCGAAAGCAAATGCGAATGCGAATGTGAATGTGAATGCGAATGCGAATTTAAATGCTCCGCATTTGGCCTCGAATTCCAATGATCCACGTGGACGCAAAGCCAGCTATGTAAATAATCTGGGCAGTCGACGTACTGTTTCCAAATCGCCCACGCCGCCCGGCCCTGTTAATTGGCCGCAGACTGATCTCAACTATTCGGCGCTCAATATGCCACGCGTTGGCGTGGCTCAGCCCAACATATCGAATATATCGAATACAACACCATTGCTACGCACACGAGCACCGCTAAATCTAAATACTTCGGCTGCAGCTGCAGCTGCGGCGGCTGCGGCTTCGGCAGCGGCAGCGGCGGCTGCAACCTGCACAAATGTTCCGCCTGTCCAGATGCCAAACATCGATGAACTGCAGCCAGCTGTGTCGGATTACAATGAGCCGCGGCGTTACCACGAGTCCCGCGATCCGCGTTGCAACAAGTGGGTCAACAACAGTAGCAGCAACATGCCTGGCCAACCGATGGGATCTCAGCAGCCAATGGGAGCAGCTGTGGCGCCTAATCAACAGTATTCAGGTGCAAGGTGTCATTCCATGCCGCCACAGGCTACGGGTTATGAAGAAACTTCGTCGTCAGGCAACTGGCCGGCGCCTAACATTTATAACAGCAACAATAATAATAATAATAATAATAATAAAAATAATAATAGTATCAACAGCAGCAACAATAACTTTAGCTATAACAACAATATGAACAATTGGTCGAAAAAGCAAGTTCATAAGAAAACCAATGTCAATTTGATATATCCTGCCGCCTACAATCGGGGACAACATTTTCCGTCAACCTCAACTCAGGCGAAAAAAAACGAACCGCGCACCTATCGGGAGCATCGAGAGGCCAAGGCCAAGGCTGCCCGATTACAGGCGGAGAAGCTCCGACGTCTGGAAGCGGCTGAGAAGCCATTGGAGCCGGACACTCCGCCAACGACAATCGAAAGCGATCGCGTCCAGCTGGACACATCGTATCGTAATTTGGGCAGCACTCCCAAAAAGAAGATCGATTTTAAGATACCCAAGAAAGTGAGTACGAACAAGTCTAGTGAAACGACAGGAGAGAAAAGAGATGAGAAGGCTGATAGAACAGATAAGTATGATGGTTCCCAAGAGATCATTTGTGATTCTGAGGAGAACTGGAATGATGAGGTGGATGCCGTGCAGGTGTCAAGTGATAGTGGGTCATTGGGTTCGAAGCAAAAGTCAAAGAAGTCTGATAAGGCGGATAAGTCGGAGAAGCAGAAAAAATCCGATAGGACTATCCAGGAAAAGACAAATAAAAGTGATAAAAGTGATAAAAGTGAAAACTCTGAGACAGCAGCTAATTCAAATAAAAGTAAGAAAACCGATAGCACGGATAGATCAGAGAAGTCGAAAAAAAGTGAGAGACCTGATAAAAGGGATACGGATAAGAAAACGTCGAACAAATCGCATAAAGAGGATAAAAAATCTCACAAAAGTCATCATACTAAACGCGACAAATCAAAACATCGTGATGAAAAAGACTTAAAGGATAAGGATAAGCGCTCGAGCAAGTATTGCAGTACACATACGGATAAGCGGAAAGACAAAGAAGAAAACCCACCGAAGTCAACGGATAATACGGATAATGTGGAAAATGAGCCGCCAGCTCATGAGGCAACAGATAAGGCGGCACGCAAAAGTGAAGAGCAAAACGGGGAAGAGATTGAGGCCGTGGATACGAAGGGTGACGTAGAAGAGAAAGAGGAAAAGGAGGTGGATGATGAAGGTGATATTATTGATGTGGAAGAGGTGTCCGAAGAAACGAAACCAAGAATCGAAGACCTCCAGCAGGCAACTGAGGACGAGTTGCGTAAATCACCGCCCAAGTTGCCCAAGATAAAGGTGGTGCTGGGCCCCAATGCGCATACCATAACGGTAATACCTGGCTGCGATGGGGACGATGATACGATTGAAATGATATCAAAGCCCGATACCGAACCAGAAGTAGGTCGCATCACGAAACGACGGAAATCCGTGCTACCGTTAGTGAATACCTCGACAACACCTGACTGCGATGGTGACGTCGATACAAAGGAAATGAAGTCCGATGCCGAATCAAAGGCAGATCGTAAAGAATCCATGATACCGGTAGTGGATAAATCGGTAATATATGGCTGTGATGTTAACGACGATGAGATGAAATCGACACCCAATGCCGAACCTGAGCTAAAGCGTATTTTGGAGCGTAGGAAATCCATGATGCCGCTAGCTAGCAGGCCGTTAATCGATAAGTCGCAACTGTTCACGGAAAGTTTCGTTTATGAGGATGTGATAGACCATCAGCGACAACAGCAGGGGTCTACGCATCAAACGGATGCCCGTGCAAAACATCTGGCCAACATGTTTGAAAAGCCATCTGATAATTGCAGTATATCCACGCAAAATATAGTGGCGGGTAAACGACGATCGGGCTTTAATGATTTAACTTTGAATGAGACGCAACTCAGTAGAAATGTC